GACCAAAGGGTCTTTTATCTTGTTTGTGGTGCGGGTTTTGTGTTGGTTTTTGGTTGCTGGTGGTTGGTTGGTTTGGTTTTTTTCTTATCGCTGCGGTTGGAAACGGGTGAACAAAGCTTTCGGGTCCCCACCACCCCCTCTTCTCTATAGAAGCGGTGATTCGTGTCACCGCTGCTGCCTGAAAGGCCCTCGGGATTGCTAGAATTCAGCAAGGAGCATTGCTGTGGACCTGGCATCACTAGGTTAGCGGCTGGACTCCAAGGGCTTTTCCAACCTAAGCGATTCTACGATTCTGTGACTTAGAGCGTAAAGGATGTAGGTATTGGACGTCCCCTGCCAAAATATACTGAAAATGCAGTCCAGGACAAAGCTGTGCTTGCATTTAAAAAGCCTTGTTGGTGGATGGCCGCGTTTCTGCCACAGAAATTGATAAAAGTTACACCATAGGATCTGAGTAATTTCTCACTGTTCAGATCAGGTGTTCTGGGAAAACAAACCAAACCAAACCAGATTACTCCTTTGCTAAGGAGATTCTGCCAGATGGCTGTGAGGCATACAAGTGTCAGAGATGTGCGGTTGCTATCTCTGCAGTAGTACTGAGCAGAAACAGGATTTCAAGAGGAGGAAGGTCTCTACTGTCTCCCTTTGGAGCTGTGCTAACAGCCCACCTGTGGGATTCCAAGAGGTTGAGGAGTTGAGTGACCCGCTGACACCACTTTGTTAGGTCATGCTTTTTCCCTAGGCCTGTCAGCATATCATCTAGTCATTATCAGCAATGCAAACTTGTTTTTTAAGCCACACGAGTGAGCTGCCAGCTCTAGAATTTGAAGAGTAAGATTCAGATTCAGTGTGTGTGTAACTGCTTTACAGGAGCCTGAGTTTCTCAGAGCAGTGGCTTTTTATTGTGCCACAGTAGATACACAGCTTGATTCTGCTTTGATTATTCTGGCAAAATTTCTGCTGGTTTCAATCAGGAAAGGACTTGGCTCATTCTCAAAACTTCCAGTATCTTTAATACGAGCAATACTGATGTAGTGATGGTTTTGAATGCACGTGTAACATAGGATTAAGCCTTTCATTCTGAATTTCTTTGCTTTTCTGAGCTAGAATCAATCAAAGCTGTGATAAGGTGCATAGGTTCAGATGATATGGTAGGTTAATTATTAGCTTAATGTTTTGATGTATATTCAGAGCAAAATGACCAATGAAAAAGCAGACTCTGGATCCTGCTCATATCAGAACTGCCAGCTGGACTTTAGTGATCAATGAATTTTAAAATAGCTTTCATATAACATCATTCTGAAGGCATATACATATGTTTTGAGATTGGGTTTGTTGGTGTATAGTCTTAATTCCAGGGTTGGGGTTTTTTTCTGAAAATACAATGGCATGAATTCATGCTGTAGCATCTCTGGGTTGTGGACACCTGCTGTCACCTTGCTGCTAACAGCCTGGGCTGGAAACACTTAAAGGGCACTTGGTACTCATTTAAAAAATATGCTAGAGATGATCCCAATGAAATGAAGAGGGAATGCTACCATCGAGACATGGGGGATGCAATCAATACCTGTTATTTGTAATGAGCACTTGCTCAAGAAGTGTTTTTATTTCATCATCCTTGTTAGTGAGGCTGGGCACTCACAGAAATAAGGACAGCTAGCAATTCAGCCATAAATCTACATCATATACACATTTTCTTCTGAGATACATTGTGTGTAGAAGGATAAATATTGGGTTAATTTTATTTGGAGAAAATGCCTCTTTTAAAATCATGCGATTAGTTTAAGAGACAGCAAAATTCATGCACTTAATTGTACTCCATATTATTAAGGGTGTTTGAGAAAGGGCTGAAGAGTATCAAATGTGCTCTCTGTTCAGACAGACAAGCCAAGCCGTTCATGTAAGGGCACTTTTATCACTGCAGACTGAGACATAATCAGTAATTGTCTTTTATTGACCGCAAGGTCAATCACCTCTAGCAGCTGAATCTGAAATAGCACTGAAGTTGTAGGAAATACTGTTCTCGTGTAAGGATCTGGAAAGGTCTGATCTCCTGATATACTATGTGTACAGTCTATCACAAATATGATCCTACAAATTCATACTGAAGAAAACACACTCTTCTGTGCAAAATTTTAACTTGTGCTGGTGTTAATTTGACAATTCTAACCAATGTGTAATGAAAAAAAAAAGACTGTGTAAACTGGTCTTTCGTAGTTTCAGTAAATGCTGAGTTAAAACATGGCAATTACCTTTTCTAGTATTGTTTGGCTCATTGTCCATGTGTGCATAAGCACTGTCTTGGACAGTGTTGCCTTTCTACAGATCTGATCCTGAAGCTCTTATACAGGCAAATCTCCAACAGAGACAGTGTTTTATACCTGAAGATTGTTGGATTAGGTCTCATGACTGCAGTTAAGTATTGTCAGCAGTTAAGAACGGTTTATCCACACAAGCACTGTCATCCAAGATTCTTTCTCCCTGTGTTCAGGACAGGATAAGTGTGGTAGATGTGGAGAAGTACATATCCAGGATTCAAAGCTTATTTAGTAGAGTGCATGAGCATTAAGTTTAGGAGTTCTGGGATTTAGAGCTTTTAATGGCCTTATAACCCAAAATGCGTCCTCTGGGCAATATGGGTATCTGTAGTGGAATGGAATGCAACACTTCAGTTGGAAGGGACCATCTAGTCCAGCTGCCTGACCACTTCAGAGGGCTTCAGGACATTTTATCTCAGTTTATCACTGAAAGAGCAGTCACCAGAGTGATGGGTCCCTCCTGCATCCCTGCAGCAGCCAGGCAGAGGGGCAGTGGGCAGTGCTCGCCGGCATGGATCTGGCAGTGAGCTTCACAAGGTGCACCGAACTGGGGCGCCCGCCACAAGCCAGAGGGACCCCTCCCAGGGAGAGCAGAGGGAAAAGGACTGATTTCATCAAAGGTTTATGTTGTGGTTGAATACAATGAGTCTGGGGAGTATATTTGTAATTCTCTTTACTCCTTGCTGTTCAGCTCAGGTATTCCACTGAGGATTGTTCCTTTGAAGAGGAGATTCGCCCAGACGGCTACAATGTATATAAGTCAAAAAAATATGGAATATCGGTGTCTTTGAGCAGTGCCAAGCAAAGACAACAGTTCAAAGGAAAAGATTTTCTTCCGCTGTCTCACTTCTTACCTATGATCAACACTGTGCCTGTGGAGTCGGCAGACTTTGGTGAATACGGTGATTACAGCCAGGCTTTTGAACCGGAGGTGTACTCCTCGCCGCTCGAAACGGACAGCATGGACCCCTTTGGCATCACCTCCAAACTGTCACCGGTGAAGAGCCCCAGCTTTCAGAAATGATCACATGCACACGTTTTTTAAAGAAATATTGCAAAGTACTGCAGGTTTTTTTAGCTTTTCGTGTAGTGACATTTTGAACTTTTTTATATATTTCAGCACAGAGCCAGCCTTTTCCTTGCCATGCATTGTACCTGTAAGAGATGAGTGCCTAAAGGCGACACTGTATCCTAAATAATTGCCTATCCATAGTTTTATTTGGAAAAGAAAGGTTAAGTAAGAAAAGCTTAGCAGCTTCATCAGACTTCTTAGATTACTGTGGTGATGATAAAACTACTACATTTTTTCTACATCAACTTCATTACCATATATGTTCACCTGTTATTTCTACTCGTAGGAGCAAATGCAGAAAACCTTTCCCTCTTCAGAGGCCTTAAAGACAAATACTTCAAACAAAATACAGTTAAGGAAAACCTAGCAAATGTGCTTACGTGATTCCTTGAAAAGCTGCTGACAACATTCTGGGAAAACTTTCTGTTGAAAGCATAACACTGAAAAAACAACTGCTTGTATATTGTGCTTTTTCTTCCCTTAGGAGATAAGGAAGGAAAGTGAAAAATTTCTTTCCTCCCTTATTGCTAAAGGGTACTTTGGGAAGTTGGATCTTTGATTTCTTCTAAAGGCTAATTTATATTCATTCTTGCATCAGCGTCATCCAGCAGTGAGTTCTCATTAGCATTAGCGAGAATTCAGTGTGTGGTTGGAAGTATACAGAGAACTAGCATTTATGTTGATCAGGTAGGGAATGAGCAGTTCAAATTAGTGTTTAAATTAATGTTCTGTTGTATATAAGCATGTATGCTGTTAGCAAATGGAGAGAAAGACTGAGAACGGATGATGTATAGGTCAAATCAATTGCAAAATAGGTTTTCATGTTTCAGCTTTAACCGTCAGCAATTATTTCAAGTCCCAGGCTTGATTCTACATCTGTGGGAATCAGTGGAGAGACACTTTAGTGACTTAAATGCTGCAGAACTGGGTAAGCCACGCCATTCTTCTTGCAGGAAGGGATTCTGAATACTTCGTGGCCAAAATGCTGGTGTTTTCAGTTCTGTTCTCACGTTGTAATGTTCTGAAGAAATAACTACTAAGGTGAAACCAAAGGAAAAAAAAAAGCAATGTCAAAAAAGGGTTCAGGGATTCTGCTCGTTTCCAAAGGTTCGTTTATAAATAAGATTTCTATACAAAAAAGCTCTACTGGAAATACTGGTGTTCTTCTGACCAAGCACTTCATTGCCAATGCAATATTTATAATTAATTTATTGAATACATACATCTGTTTATTTTGTTAGTGTTATTTATGCTCAAAATTCTATTTATATACTCCTGAAGGTGAGTTTTTTAGTTGTAAGTAATTTCGTGAAGTTTTGTAATCATGAAATTTTAGCAAACGATAGCTTGTAAAATTTCTGTGCCTCATCAGTAGTTTAATATGTACATTTGCAATAAAAAAAAAAATCATCTTCAACACAGAAATGCAGCTGACCCTTTTGTCACTCTTTTAGTCTAGACAATTCAAAGAGCTTTAGCAAACGGCACCTGCCTCTGCAGCATCCATGTGATGATCTCCTGTGAAGGTGCCATGGTTGAGGTTCAACAGACCAGGACGTGGAGAGCCAAAGTGGTTTTCCCAAAGCTGAGCAGTGAATGCCAAGGCTGGAATTAGATTTTGACTTTGGGATATGTGAAGGTCACTCCATCTACTCCTAAGTTGTTATTCTTCCCATACAAGAACTGAATGAAGCTGCGTGAGTGTGTCCTGATGCTTTCCTCCCATTCCTCATCATTCACTCATAGAACAGAACCACAGAATTATTTAGGTTGGAAAAGACCCTTAAGATCATCAAGTCCACCTTGGCAGTGCTGGGTTAACGGCTGGGCTCGAAGATCTCAAAGGTCTTTCCCACGCCAAATGATTCTACGAGTCTCTAAACCTGGCATTGCCAAGTCCAACACAAAGCAGTGTCCCTAAGCACCACAACTACACCTTTTAAATAGCTCCAGGGTTGGAGACTTCACCACTTCGCTGGGCAACCTATTCCAGTGCTTGTCAACTGTTTCTGTGAAGAAATTTTTCCTAGTGTCCAACATAAACTTCCCCTGGTGCAACCTGAGGACATTTCCTCTTGCCCTATCACTTGTTTCAGGTAGTTGTAGATCTAGGCTGGTGAACGATGCCTGTGGACGTCATCAGTTATACATCATCTGTGATAAACAATCATGGGTTTGCATCTATTCTATGAAACATCCCTTTCACGTTCCATTTATGTCATTGAAGCCATCGTTTGCATTGCTCGCAGCCTGTGAGGTGCCGGACACTGACAGGAATCCTAAATCAAAGCTCTTTGGAGGAGGTGATTCCTCGGGGAAATGGAAAAATTCCATATCAGGTTTCTCTAGTTCTTCCACAGCTGCACAAAATCCACCTGCAAAACGCAGAAAATCCTGTGAGTGGAAGGCTGCTCCCTTTTAAAAATGGGAACTGCACTCAACAGTGCAGCTGGGGAGAAAAGTGGTTATTTTTGCCTGAAAAAGATGTCGATTTCTGGCAGGAAAAGAGGCTGAACGTTTCCGTTTGGAAATGCTGTGAGTCACAGGAATTGCAGATTTCTTGGCTGGCAAACTTCTCCCATGGTGTTTCCCACTCTCCTTTGTGCTGAGCCACTGCCACACATCCGGAGGGTTCCCGGTCCTAGTGTGCTGGGTGATGTAGTCCTGATTTTCAAATTGGTTTATTCCAAAAGTTTTTGGGCTTGAGGCACTCCGTTTTTCTGGTCTTCCTTTCCAATTTTGATCAGCCACTGTATTTTCTTTCAAGAAATAGGGTATCTTTCAAGATTATTTGTAAAAAAAAAACCAAACGACCAAACTAAACAACAAAATAAAAATAAATATGAAGTTTTGAAATTTGGTCCAAAGCCAGCACTTTTACTTTTCTGCTGAAAAAATGCACAGTTTTGATGTGAGACACAGCAAATAACAGAGTTCAGAGGGTATATTGTGTAACTGAATCAGTGAGAGATTTTTTGAGTAGATATCACGTTGTTCTGCATGAATATTGCTCAAGAGCATGAAGATGAGCAACTTTACATTTGCAAACAGCATCTTGGCCTCTGTAGTGACTCTGTTTGCTGACACCTTCAGATTTGCATCTTTCAGCAGCAACAGCATGGTTTAGAGGTTGGTTCAATGTTTATTCAGACGGAGGGAAGAATTCCAGGAGCTGAATTACCCACACACCGCATCCTGGTGCACTTTAGTTTTCCTTGGAGGTTTCCCATCTGAGCTCTTACCAGACCCGGCTGTTTTGCTTATAAAATCTGACAAGATCACAGCTTGGGGTGGAAGGATTACTGGGAAACGCGTTCCCTCCCATCAGACACCTGACTCGGTCAGGAACTTGGTGTGCAAACCCATGGAAACACCATCGCCTTCGGTTCTGTGGGAATGTAAACACCACCAGCAGCACTCACGATATAGGTCTGGCTTGATCATGGTTTCTCAAGGTCAGTGGGACAATTGTGGTGCTTGCCTTCGCAGTAGTATATTTTACAGCCCTAAAAGGTTTTTAAAGGTCAGGTGTCAAATGTCTCCTTGTGAAGTCTTAGTTAGAAGCTATGATGTGCAAATACGAGTTGTTAGAGCGGTGGGAAGGCTGTAGGAAAGGAGACGCTGGGGATTTTTTTCATTTCCACTTCGCAGCAGCATAAAAAGCTATAAATCCTTTATTCAAGAGACATAATATCAACTTCACCTCTGCTCAAAGCACTAAAACTGTGTTCGTGGAAAATTTGGGACTGCTCTTTCTACTTTGCTGGTGTACTTTGTATATGAATGGAGAAGGAAATGAATAATTAAATAAATGTACTTTCTTTCCTCAAAAAACTATGGAAGCCAGCCCTCCCTTTGGGCAACTACGGATGCGACAAAAGCAGAGAGGAGTTTGCTTCGGAAGTGACTGGGAGTGCAAGAAAGAGAGCGTCAGCACTCAGAATTCGGGGTGAATTTGTGGCAGTCGAGGCACACCGCAAGTTCCTGCGCGCTGCTGGCGGGTGAGACTGGTTGTTGAAGATAGGTAAGGATGCCCCCAAACGAGGGTAGAGTTTTGTAGCATTCTTGCCAGGACATTGTTGGACTTTCAGCGTTTTTCATCAATCCCATGATCTACTGAGATCAAAGAACGTGGTTTTCATTAATTCCCAAAGCAAGATTTAAATTGCAGCTATTAGCTTAGAGGAGACCCTCGAAGACACCTCTTTGCGCCGACATCAGGGAAGAGCGCGTGTCTGGTTGTAGAGCAGGCAGGTGCTCACACCTGGCGAACTTGCAGTGATTTCACGTGAGATGCAGCGATATCCCCACTTTTATTGCAGAACACAAGCTGGCTGGCTGCGGTCGCTCTGGGTAAATTAGTAAATCCTGCTGTGATGGAGCATTCCTAACGAACCTAGCGAATGTGATGAAAGCAGTCGTGCTATTAAGGTCTATCTAATTGCGCTGGTGCATCCGGTCAGCTAAACCTTTGGCAGCGTGACCTTTATTTTCATTCTAACGCAGTTTTAATTTTCCTTTAGGCTGATCTCTGGATTTTAAAGCTGTCTCTTCCGAATCCTCTGCCCTCCTGCGGCAGACGCGGAGGACAGCAGGCCCCCTGCAGCCCTGTTCGGATGGGCAGATCGCTTTGCTGTGCCCAGAGCCACTTTTTAATTAACTCTCGGGAAAACAAGCGGCAATTAAGACACCCCCCTA